TCCCTCCCTCCCTCCCTCCCTTCCTTTCTTCCTTTCTTTCTTTCATGTGTGTGGTGGAATTTGAACTCAAGTCCTCATGTTTATAATCTGCACTCTTACCCATCCCCCAACCCTCAAAAGTCTCTACTTTGGAGGTGGGTGCTCACTGACCAGCCTGGGCCCTCAGGGCCTGAGCTGCCGGAAGACATCCATGGGCCTGCCTGGCACCTGGCGCCTTGTATCACCAGGCATGTGGGACTCATTATGATAAACAAATAAATGTGGTACAGAAATGGGAAAGAGAATCCGAATGGTTCATGTGTTGTGGAAAGAAGCAGACCTGAAGAAGTGAAGGGGGTGAGAAACAGGCTGATGTGAGAGTCCTGCTTACCACTCAGGGCCATGGTGATGTCTGGCCTGGCTGGTGCCAAGGGCCATGTCTGGTTTGATCCTGGTAGGCTATGGTCCTACCATAGCCAGGGTCTGTGTGGACATCCATGGCTCATGTTGCCACCAAAGGCCACAAGGATGTCTTGTGTCTGGGCTGCCACCTGTGGCCAAGTAGGTGTCCAAGAGCCATGCTGCCACTGGAGCTATACAGATCTGGGTGGCCTGTGCTGCCACCCTGGGCCATGGTGCCATCCAGGCCTGAGCTGCTGCTAAGTGCCCGGCCTGTATCCATGGCCCTGTAGCAGCCAGGGTCTGTGTTAACATCCACATTCCATGTTGCTACCAAAGGACACATGGAAGCCCAGGGTCTGGGCGGCAACCTGTGGTCTTATTGGTGTGTGAGGACCATGATGCCACTGGAACCACACTGGTCTGGATGGCCCATACTGCCACCCGAGGCCATCATATCATCCAGGGCCAGACTGCTGCTGAGGGCCATGTCTGGGTCCACGACCCTACAACAGCCAGGATCTGAGTGGACATCTGTGGCTCCTGCCGTAACTGAGGGCTGTGTGGTTGCCCAGCATGTGATCAGCCACTCGCGAACATATTGGAGCCCAGGGGTCATGCTATAGCAAGAGCATACAGATCTGAATGGCACAGACATACTATTACCCAGTGCCGTGGTGATGTCCCGACCAGGGCTGTATCTAGGGGCCATGTCTGGGTCTGTGGCCCTACTGCAGCCCGGGACTGTGTTGATGTCTATGTCTTCTGTTGCCGTTGAGGGCGGGCCATGCAGATTCCCGGGATCCGGGCTGCTGCCTGCGGCTGTGTTGGTGTTCAAGAGTGATGCTTCTGTTGGGGCAGTGTCTATCTGAGTGGGCTGCGCTGACACCCGGGGAAATGGTGTTGCCCAGGCCTGAGCTGCTGCTGAGGGCCATGTCTGGGTCCATGGTTCCGCCACAGCAGGGGTCTGTGCTGATGTCCGTTGTCTCTGTCACCTCAGAGGGCCGTAGGAACTCTGTGTGATGCTGGCCCTGTGAGAGCTGGCCCTGATCCTCATAGGAGAGCTGCCCTCCCCAACCCCACACTCAGGAGAGATGGCCCCAACTTCTCATCACAGGTGAAGGAGAACCGATGCTAGTGGTATGGGTGTAGGGGAGCTGGCTCTGCCCCTCGCTTGATGGGGCGGGCGGTGGGGCGGGGGTTGGCTTCAGTGCCCCGGACTAACCAGCTCAGCCACCAACCAGGGCCACAACTGGGTCTTGGGTTGGCCCACCCTAACATTTACCGCATCGAGGACCTGCTGGAGCTCGTGAAGGGACTGGTCCTGTGGAATGATATCCACAGGGTCTCCATGACTCGGGGCAGCTGCAGGATATCTGAGAGGAGTTTTGGTGAGGATCCTGTGATAATGAGGTGCCAGAAACCAGAAGCCTTGGACCTGACCAATGGCTCATTGCAATGAACATTTACAAGTGAAGCTGATTGGACAAGAGGGTAAACTGTGTGACACACTGTGGCTCCCAATTCCACCAGGACAAATGAAGAAGTGTTGGAGAAGTCAGGGAGACGGAGAAGTGAAGAGGTTTTTTTTGTTTGTTTTGTTTTGATTTTTTGAATTTTTTTGGGGGGGTGTTGCAGGGGTAAGGGGAGGATAAGGGGGGACTGGGAGGTCAGCAGAATTAGGGTGCATGGTGTGAAATTCCCCAAGAATCAAGAATGAAATGATGTTAAATAAGAAGTCTCTATTTTGATCTAGTTTATCATGTTTCCTCTGCCTCTCCTGAAACCCACCTCGGCCATTCGTTTCACATCTGGCCAACTGCCTACCCTTCCTGGCCCACACTCAGCTTCCTTTCTTCCAATCACAGTCTATGAAGGGAAGACCCTTGCTAGGGATGAAAGAGGGGGACATACGGAGGGAGGGGCATAGAGGTGGCGTGGGATTACGGTGGCGGGGTGGGTAAAGCTTCAACATGTTCAGAGATTTTTGTCTCTTCTCACAATCACAGGAGAAAATTCTGGGGAACTGGGCTAAAGAATTTTCTGAGGTATAAAACTGATGGCTTCCCCTTTATGTTTGAAATAAGATGACAAATAAGACTATTTTCAAAAGAGTCCCTTGAGGTCAATGCCAGTGGGGGCCAACCACATGACTACCCACATGCTTGTCCTTAATATTTGTTCTCAAATGGGACTCATCCCACCCAACAGGGGAGGAATAGGGGTCTGCAATGGCTGTACTGGGTTCAGGCTTCCTCAAGGCAGACTGAGCAAGGCTAGGAACGAAATGTCTGTCAGAATTCTTATCATAAATAGAGATTTCATGAGGATGAACTCTTAGGACAAAGTCAATGGCAGTAGAGCCGGTGATCTTTGAGAACTGCCATGGTAGATTTATTTCTGGATTGATTTCCACAGTTCAAGGACAAGTATTGTTACCTGCATTCACTCCTTACTTCTTTGTGAGTACCTACCTACTAATGCTTACCCAAAGATTTTTTGTTTTGTTTTGTTTTATTTTAAGGTTTTAGAAAATGTGATCCCAGAAAAGAAAAAAATCTGCTCTTTACTCAGAGCCTAGCACATGACAGGGACTGTGATTCATTTTGTAGCTGTGCACACTGGCTCATGACCTGTGCTTAGAAGTGTTCCCCTTTCACAAGTGAAGGGTATCAGACACAGACAGCCAAAATCTGCAGGTCCAGCAAGGATGATTGAGATGGAAAGCCACTTGACCAACCAATATTCTTTTGATCTTGGTTACATACATTTCCAGAATTGCTGCTAAATGTGCAAATCTGATGGTCAATTCAATGATTCTCAACACTGGGTGACTGGGTGACAAACTT